GATATCACAGAAAGAGACAATGAGGCTAACAACGTAAGGTATAACAGAATGAATATACCAGGTAGGGTGAGTAGTTAAGAAGGGAAAGAAAGGGAATCTGTAACAGGCAAATAATGCAATGAGAGGAATAAGGCCATGTATATCAGTAATAACTCTCAATGTGAATGGTCTGAGTTTCCCAATCAAAAGAAACAAAGTGGCAGAATGGATCATGAAAGAAAATCCAACAGTATGCCATATGTGAGAATCACATTTAACTCAAAAAAAAATTCACAGACTAAAAGTAAAAAAATGGAAAACAATATTCCTATTGCATGTTGTTCCATGCAATAGGAACAACAACAACAAAAAAGCATCTTTTTCAGAAAAAGTGTACTTCAAGCCAAAACTGGTCAGAAGAGGCAAAGGAAGCCAGTATATATTACTTAAGGGAACAGTCTGCAAGAAGAGATAACAAATATTAACATATATGCACCAAACAATGGCATACCCAACCATAAAAAAAGGACTACTAGACATAAAAGATCAGATAAACATCAACACAATTATAATGGGGAACCTCAATATCCCACTGTTCACAAGGCTAAAAAATAAAAAAAGAAATATCAGGTTTGAATAAAATCTTTGAACAAATGGACTTAACAGAAATCTACAAAGTGTTTCACCCAACAACAGAATACATAGTCTTCTGATAAGTACATGGAACTTTCTCCAAAATAGACCAAACAGTAGACCATAAAGCATGTTTAAGGAAATGCAAAAGAATCATAATTATACTGTGCATATTACCAGATCACAGCAAAATAAAAGTAGAAATCAATGGCAAAAGAAAACACAGAAATTATGGAAATTAAATAATACAACCTTGAATAATCAATGGGTTACAGAAGAAATCAAGAACAAAGACAGTTTCTAGAACTAAACAATAATGCCAGTACAACACACTAGAAATTATGATACAAGGCAGAAGGATGGCTGAAAGTTTGTCAGTCTGACAGCTGCAAAGTAATTTCATGGCCAGCCCAAACTACATAGTGACACCCTGTCTCAAAAACCAAAGTAGGGCCAGGGATTTAGCTCGGTGGTTCTACCACCTGCCTCGGAAGCATAAGGTCCTGAGTTCGATCCCCAGTA